GACGAAAGCTAAACCAGTTCCACACCACTGAAGTTGCAGCATTTTTACAAACCAATTCTGGTCCATCTGTTTCATTCAATGATCCGTTTTCGCCCTTCTCATTCTCCGTTGCCGCCATGCTTTTTCCGCCATGTGCGTATGAAAACATAGGCACTGCGCATGCGCGTTTTACCCATATTCTATCGCGATATTTCATTTTCTTATCGTTGCCCAACATTATACCGGTATTACCGTAAACGGTACGATATGAGGTGGAGCTCTTCGTTTTTCTGCACTTTCTCTGCACAGTCTGCGATGAATTTGCTTGGATGTTCACTCCACGGAAGATTGTGGCATTGTGTTAATACACACCGGAACGTTCCAGTTTTTATAGAGGTGGTCACTCTTTCTACTTACTGTTGTTACTTACAGTCCTGTGGAAATCTTTCTTTTTCACATGACCGTACAGGAAAACTGTCTTAACTGCAGGTCACTGATGCATTTAAAGCAGACCGCTTAGGGTTTGATTTTTAAAGGTTTAGTATGATGAGAAAATCGTGCTACTGATTTGGTGAAACATTGCAGATTGCACATAATTCTCACAGTTATACTTCAATGGATCGCTGTGTTACAAAGCTTCAGTCTTCATCAACACTGCTGAACAGAAGACACAAGCTGTCTTCCCTTCACTACAACTTTCTGTCAAGACTTCACTTGCCTAATCCAGATTAAAAACCCACTGGAACTTTTTCGATTAGTGGTGATTATATTGTAAACCCTGGGGCAGCCAAAAACCAGCATGTGAATGACTCAGCAAGGCTGGCAGAAAGACGGGGGAAGCAGAGATTCATGCTGAAGGACGCTAATGCTGAAGGACAGCAGCAGACTGTAAAATATTTCACGGCCGCTGCGATGACATACACGTGGAAGCAAATCGATCAACAAACATAGTAAAGAACAACTTGAATCAGTTTAATTTGTGAAGCATTTTCACCTGCTTGTGCTTGACTCCTTTTCTGTGTGTGCCGTGTGTGTCTCTGCACAGATAAAGCTCAGTAATACGTGATCATATTATCACAACACCGCTGCCTCTACTCTCAGCCACACACAGTATATTTTATTTCTTCAAGGTAACAAGTTAGTACACTGTGAGGAAAATCTCAAGGGTTGTGACTTTGAGTTGTGTGTTTTGCATACCAAGTACACAGATGACCTTGTGTAAGTGAGAAATATAAACCAGCTAAATCTTGTAATACTGACCCCGAGCAAACATCCTCTGCACCAGTATACTCTCCTTTCACTCTCCTCAGCCTCCCTGCAGTCTTTTCAAACCTTTTCTCTTCTTGCTTCCTCATTATCACCCAAATTAAACTTTTTCTTCCTGTCATCTACAGTTGTGGAGCCAGAATGTGACAAAAGCTCTGCTACGACCTATTTCTGGTACCGGCAGACTCTGAACACGACCAGCACCATCGCAGAGAGCGGCGGCCTCAACATCAAAATGACCCTGTCTCTGCTGGTAGCCTGGATCATTGTCTGCCTCGCTGTCATTAAAGGAATCGCTTCCTCTGGGAAGGTTGGGAAACCATGACACAGAAACATTTAAGAGAAAAGTGTGGAGGCTTGTTTTTGCTGAATGGATGTCTTTTTCTTTTGCACCTGTACAGGTGATGTACTTCAGTTCTCTTTTCCCCTACGTGGTGCTGTTCTGTTTCCTGGTCAGGGGTTTAATGCTGAAGGGCTCCGTAGATGGTATCGCTCACATGTTCACACCCAAGGTTAGGATGGAAGAGTCATTGTTCCTCACCTCTATTTTTTTCAACCTTGCATGCTAACAAAAGCCTCTCCTCACATCTCAGTTGGAGAAGATGCTGGAACCGCAGGTGTGGAGGGAGGCCGCCACCCAGGTCTTCTTTGCCCTCGGTCTGGGTTTTGGAGGAGTCATTGCCTTCTCCAGTTACAATAAGATTGACAACAACTGCCACTTTGATGCCGTGCTCGTCTCTGTCATCAACTTTTTGACCTCCATTTTGGCCACACTGGTTGTGTTTGCTGTGTTGGGCTTCAAGGCCAACATCATGAATGAAAAGTGTGTTGTGGAGTAAGTTGAACACTATTTTTTTTTTTGGCAACATTGAATGTAACCCCCCCAAAAAAGAAACAAAAGTCCGACAGCAAGGTTCATGAGTACTGCATATTAACCAAAAATCACCCCTCAAAGTTACAATCCCCACAGTCTTTATGTTATAAACAGTGGCAGTTATCCTTATTTTCTGTCACATATATGTTGTTACAGTGATGGATCCTCATATTTTCAGATACTGTGGTCAGTGCACGTGCGAGCAGTGCTTTCGAGCCAAAAGGCCCATCTTCAGATTGTTCTGAGTTCTTAGTTTCTGATGGTGTTTTTCTGTTCATGACTCTATCTGATGTCAAAGACGTGGAAAGTCCCGGCTTGAAGACAAGATGATTCTTCTCAAAGTTTTAGCCTCATATAATAAATGTACAAACCTGCTATTCAAACTTATATGAGGACCACACAATCAGGGGAAAGTTGAAAATTAAATTAAATTATGATGTTTTTTGTTTTTTTAATAAATTTGAAACATGCAAGCTACTCAAGTAGAGTCCAAGAATATACAATAATAATAATAATAATAATAATAATACATTTTATTTGAGGGCGCCTTTCAAAAACCCAAGGTCACCTTACAAAAGAACAAAATTAATAAAAGAAGCAATAGTCATAAAATACATAAAATCAGTTAAAATTGCAAAGCAGAACTTGACAACAGATAAAATCAGCACTAAAGCGAATAAGCCAGTTTGAACAGATGTGTTTTGAGCTGTGACTTAAATGCGGGAAGAGAGTCTATATTTCTTATGGCTGGAGGAAGAGCGTTCCAGAGCCGAGGAGCAGAGCGACTGAGGGCTCTGTTCCCCATAGTTGTAAGACGTGCGGACGGAACAGTAAGATGAATAGCAGATGAGATCTAAGAGGGTCGGAGACAGTGGTGATATGGAGCAGGTCACACAAAATAAGGGCAGGGATAGCTCAGTAGGTAGTGTGGTCACCCCATGATCGAAAGGTTCCACTGAGCAAGGTACCGTCCCTACACACTGCTCCCCGTGCGCCTGATTTGCAGCTGCCCACTGAGTGAATGGGTTAAATGCAGAGAGAGTAATTTTTCCACGGGGCTCAATAAAGTATACATTATTATTATTATTATTATGTATCTGGAAATGAGCATAATAGGTCTTTGAACTATGGGAGGAAGCCAGAGAGCTTATTTTGAGGTCACAGCACAAACCACTGCATGAAAAATGCATGTATTCATTTACTCTTAAAAATACATGTTTTTGGCACATTAACAAGTTAAAACTCCGTAAATTTGTTCCAAACGCAAAGTACAGGAGTAAAAACCCAAATTTTTGTTGCACTTTTTACCTACCTAATTATTTATGAGGAAAGAAATCACATCCTTTATAAAGAATATGAGGATACCAAAGTGTAAGCTAAATAATAATAATGGATTGGATTTATATAGCACTTTTCAAGGCACCTTACAATGCCACTATTCATTCACTCGCGCACTCATACACTGGTGGAAGCAAGCTATGGTTGTAGCTACAGCTGCCCTGGGGCAGACTGACAGAAGCGAGGCTGCCATATCGCTCCATCGGCCCCTCTGGCCAACACCAGTAGGGTAAAGTGTCTTGCCTAAGGACGCAACTACCAGGACAGAGAGCCCAGGGATCGAACCGGCGACCTTCCGGTTACAGATATGCTTCCCAACCCCCTGAGCCACGGTCTAAATAGGTCTAAATTGTCTCTATTGTGATCATTTATTAAATTACTGAGTGGTAGGTGAAATTGTAAATTGATGTTTGTATCTATTTTAAGAGACAATTTAATCTAATTTAATTTAATCTAATCTAATCTTTAAGTAATTTAACAGCAACAGGTTGTCAAGAAATTGTACCTTACATGGCTTTTTGTCAGAGCATCAGTCAAGCAGTGTGGCGCAAAATATGTATTGGATTCATTGTGATTCTGACCTTTTCTGTCTGCAGGAATGCAGAAAAGATCCTGGGATACCTCAACTCCAACGTCCTGAGTCATGATCTTATTCCTCCACATGTGAACTTTTCCCATCTCACCACGTCGGACTACGCTGAGATGTACGGGGTCATTAAAACGGTCAAAGAGGACAGCTTTCCCCAGCTGGGTCTGGAGCCGTGTGTTCTGGAGGATGAGCTGAACAAAGTGAGCCTTTGGCACACATAACTCAGCTGAATCCACAGCATGTTCTGTGTTTCACACCTCTCAATGTCTCTCTGCAGGCTGTCCAGGGCACCGGCCTGGCCTTCATCGCCTTCACAGAAGCCATGACGCATTTCCCAGCATCTCCCTTCTGGTCAGTCATGTTCTTCTTCATGCTCATCAACCTCGGTCTGGGCAGCATGATCGGCACCATGACTGGCATCACCACACCTGTCCTTGACGCCTACAAAGTCCAGAAGGAGCTTTTTACAGGTACGCCGCTCCCCAGCACCACCGCCACACTGACTCCCTCAGCCTCTGTGCTATTAGTAGTTGAAACCCCTTGCTCAGCACTTAGAAAGGATTAAAGTACATCTGGGAATGAGCTGCATTAGTATTTATGTGCTGTGAGCAAACTGAATGGAAAGCAGAAACAGGAAATAATAGCACTTAATGGCAAATAAAACCTTTTTAATTCTCATCTGTTTTTTCAAACTTTTTCCTAATCTTTTCTTCCAAATGAGCTCCAATTGTTTCTGTTTGTTTCAGTGTGTTGCTGCATCATCGCTTTCTTATGCGGCTTGTTGTTTGTTCAGCGGTCGGGAAATTACTTTGTCACCATGTTCGATGATTATTCGGCTGGTCTGCCTCTCACTGTAGTGGTCATCCTGGAAAATCTGTCTGTTGCTTGGATATATGGCACCAAAAGGTGAGGCTAACTACAAGATGCTGCTGAAAGCTGTGTATCAAACTACAAAAGTGTATCCAAGGAAAGGATCCTTACTGCAATTTGTTGTTCTTTGTCAGGTTCATGCAGGACCTGGAGGACATGTTAGGTTTCCGACCTTATATTATCTATTTCTACCTTTGGAAGTACGTCTCCCCTCTCTGTCTTATCGTTCTCATCTCGGCCACTGTCATCGAGATGGCCATCAGCCCACCAGGATACAACGCCTGGGTTGAAGAGCTGGTCAGTCTTGTCTGTGTGTGTGTTTGTGCTGTTTTGGTGTAAAAGAAGTTTTCAAATGCTTCACTCAGGGAAAAGAAGCTAAAACACGACACGAAAACTGCTAAAATGTAAGCAAAATGTCCAACAGCAACAGTCATATATGACAAATTGTACTTAGTTTTTCACAGGATTGCATACCGTGTCTCTGTGTGAGTAAGAATAAAAAGCACAGAATAAATTCCCACCATTACACAGCCACACAGGGTGTACTTTGTAGGAGTGATTGGGGGGTTAGTTTTCATCTGGAACGTTTGGAAAAGTGTTTCCTTTTCATTTCACCCCTCTGTCATTTTAGGCTCAGGAACGCTTCCAGAGCTATCCTCCCTGGGCTCTGGCCATGTGCTTCGCTCTTATCGTTGTGGCCATGCTTCCGCTCCCTGTTGTCTTCATCGCCCGACACTTCAACTTGATGTCAGACGGCTCTAACAAGCTGTCTGTCTCTTACCATAAATCTATGATGAAGGACATATCCAACCTTGAGGAGCAGGATGAGGCTAGATTCATCCTTGGAGGCAAACCAGGCGAGGCCCCATCATCAGGGCCAGCACGCAAACCCTTCCTGACATCTGGAGGAAACAAACCCATGGACTCCCTGTCTCCAAACATCTGCTATGGTACTAGCTACCAAAATGCTGCCATAAGCCCCACCACACCAACTACACCAAGCACACCTCTCACACCAGAGTCTGACTCTTGACTGTTGCCCAGTCTTGACAGACTCCCCTCTGACCACCCCTGTAGCACAACTTTACCCATGAGGTCTCCACTGGAGCTCAGCGCAGCTCCAGGAATCCTCACCACTGCCCTGCTAACGCCACAAAACTGTACGTAGCCATCCAGTTTATGAGCGCTTCCAAAATAACACAAAGGAACTTCATGAGAAGATTTCCAGAATGTTTCCGAGCATCTGGAAGTTAGAAAACAGGAAAAAAGGGATGCATTTCACTCTTTTACAATAAACAAAACTCTGGAATCAGGTTGAGATTAACAGTGACACACTACATCTGTATATATTTAAAAACATCAGGTTAATGTGTTCAGAATGAAGTTCTGTGATCTGATTTTCTTTGCCTTAGTTTAAGGATCCCCTAGCAGACACCGACCCCATAGTATAAGGAAAATGTCTGCACAGTGCAGGTAGTGTGAAAGAGTGAATGTAGTAGAGTTTGTGAGGTTCTGCTGGTTTCCTATGTAGCAATAATGGGTGTCAAAGCCATGTACCACTTAATACACAGCAGGTTTTCTTTATATTAGATGTTATGCAGTCGACAAGGTGCAGCTGAAAAGTTCCAAAACCATACCTGATTCAGATTTGGACAAATTGTTCTTCAAGGTCATGCTCAGCACAGCTGTGGGAAGTCCCATTTTCATTCCACAGTGTGCGCTGTGAATTCAAGTCACAACTAAACTCTACTGTAACGTCCTGAGGTGTCTGAGGAAGACATTCACAGCAAACCACCTGACCTGTGGTGTTTGCCACTGTGTGTTGGCGCACAAGAAATAAAAAAAAACACAAAACACTCGACTCTGTATGTTTAAGAAAATGACCTTAAAGGTGAGCACTTCCAAATTAAGATCAGGTAACGTTTTTGGCCACAGACTCGCAGCTCTGTTCTGATGCCGTGAGATTTGTTTTCATAGGACTATGATTTGTAAAATATGCTAAGACGACTCTAAAGGCACCCGTTTATGTTCCAATCAGACCCCACATCCACCTCCTCCTGTAATTTGTGTGTAGAGTCTATTGTTGTTGTTCATTTTGTAAAAACAAAACAAGGTGTAAAATCACAATGTACAGTATAGTTATAGTAATATAACATACCTTTAGGACTCTGGGTTTTATTAACCGGGAGCTCAAACAACTTTCATTATCCATCACTCTCACGTCTTCGTCTCTGTGCTGTAGAAATACACTCATTTCAGTTTCTCCACCAAAGAGTTAAAAGTAAACAACAAAACACTTGAAATCTGCTCCAGAATAACAGACCTGTTACACTGGACTGCAGTGAAAGTGAACTACAACCCAAAACACAAGGCGGGCACGAAGCACGCAAAATTTGCTTTTCTCCTCCTTCAAAAAAGCACAAAGGAGATTTTGACTCACTGAGCACAAGCAGATTATTGGCTGGAATTGTCTCAAGCATTGATCCACATATTAAAATTAACTCCTGCCGAGACATATTATGGGACACACAGCAATATATATTTATATTGGAGCACAAACTCTGTTAACTTTGAACAAAAAAAATGAACTTAAAATAAGAAAAATATCTACGGACCAAAAGATTAAAAAGGAAAAATCCCAATTCTGTGAACTTATCAGCCGACCTGATAGTGTGCACCTTTGAAAGCCTTAGACTCCTCATGCACAGACAGAAATACACATGCACACACATACACACTCTGTGTTACAGGCCCTGCCGTGGCGCAGCAGGGATTACGGTGATGGTCGCTGACTTGAGTTTAAACTGAGCACATTTTAATTCCTATTTAAAGGAATCTTTAATTTATTTTTTTATCACAATATTTAAAGCCATGGTGTTTAGGTATAAATGGACTATATTTATATTCCTGTATATTTGCTGTTACGTAGGCGTGATGAATTACAAAGATTTATCTTTTACAAGCGTTTAGTATGTATACTGTGTATTTTAATCTTGTGTGACGCTTATTGAGTCTGTACATTTTAGGACTGTTCTGTAGTTTGTGGAGCTGATCGTGGACATGAAAATGATGCTGCACTGTGGAGCTGATGTACGGTCTTGTTTAGTCGTGTGTGTCCACTTCCGGTTTAGTGGTCTAATCGTTCGCCAAAAGATGCTCTCAAAATGTCCTGTTAGCCAACAGGTTCATGAAAGGTTGTCTCTAAATACGCTAAATATGTTTAGCGTAGATGACACAGCATGCTAACATCCTGAGCAGATATCTTTCCAGATGTGTACAAAACATGCAAGCACATTTTTTTTTTAGGTTGAACCACTCTGAGGTCACCCATTGATTTTGGACTTTGTTCAACTTTTTAATCCTCTGGTATTTGGACAAGACTGTGGCATGCTAAGTTATAAGCTAAAGTTAGCAGGCTTGCTACTAAGCTGCATTCATAATCTGTACAGCTTCAATGCACAATAATAAACACCTGCTAATAAAGCTCAACAACAAGGTTCCAGAAAGTAAATTTCTCCACAGGGATTTTAATTATGAGCTATAATGTTTTAGCCGTCTAAAGTAGACTCACTACAAGCTACAACATAATCAAACTATGGTGCGACAAATCTGCTCCTGTGGAGACCAAAAAGTCTGCATGAGATGGAAAAGAACTACACTAACCACAATCCTAAATTGAAAAAGTGACATCTCTGATGATGGAGGTTGTTGTTACCATGGAAATGTTAAAACGAGCAAACATCGGGTCATTTAGTGAGCGGTGATTACAGTCATTACTGAAGCATTGAGTTATAGGGATGTGTAGTTCTTTTACCATTAAAAGTACTTATATACATAGTCTGGTACTTTTGTCCCGTTTTATTTTTTCTTTGTGTTTTTATTCACCTTATAGTTGTTTAAAACTACGGTTTAAAAAGTTTAACACTCTTTATATTAAGATTTTCTGAAACATTAGTGAAGGAAACAAATGGAAAATTAACTTCTGGAACCAGAACCTTTAAAAAAGTTAGTGTTCACTGTTGAGCTGTGTTAAGAAAGGCCACACCCCTGACTCTAGTATCCAGATCTATTAGATTAAAAAACATGTAGCCAACACAGAGTCAATAAAAGGGAAATTTATCCATAGAAGCAAAGAACATTTTTCATTTTTAGTGCTTCAAAGGTTAGCATCTTAACATGGGAGCCTATAGGGATTGACTCACTTTTGGAGCCAGCCTCAAGTGGCCACCAGAGGAACTGCAATCCTGGAGGTTGCTGCTTGGGTGGTCCACACCTTTGCAAATTTATTTAGAGGCAGGGGAAAAAGTGCTGATTCAAAAACACAGCATCCAGACAAACACTTTACTGGAAAAATCATATTGGGGGGAAAAACACAGACACATGTATCAGGAATATGCTGTGTTTTTTTCAACTGCTCTATATGTGAAAAATACAGTTTCCTTTAACAGTGTAAGGATTCAGAAATGAATGTAACACGGTAGGTTTGATCCACAAAGTGGGATTTTTTTTTCTGTTTGATTGGTTTTGTTTTTCTCTCTGAATCAAACATTTTCAGCTTCCAAGCACATTTTTTATCCAAGTTTGCATGGAGAGACCTGAGCAAAGGGTTTGGCTAATCCTCCTTTGGCAATGTTTTCGCCCCCTGGTGGTAGCTCTATGAACAGCAAGTTGTGACAGTCCATTCAGGAATTAGTTTTCTGCTGTGTAATGAGTGGATCACTAGTGTGGTTACAGATGTTTTGTGTTTGGTGTGTGAGCCGTTTTAGTGTAAGAGTGTATCACGCAGACATCTCTGGTGTGTTCATGTCTGTAAATAATGTTATGTAACCAAACTATTCTGGAGATAGATTTTATTAACGTGATGTAGATTAATGTCTTCAAAGTTTTAGCAGTAAGTATAACAAAAGTTAGAAATGAATGTGATCAATGCACTTTTTTCACAAGACTGCAAAAAGCTAACGTCTGTTTTCGTTGTCTTGTTTCCAGTACATTTCAAATTTGATGAAAAGCAATATGATGTTATTTAAATGACAGAATAACTGTGGCTGAAAGCAAATCCTGTCTGTGAAAAGCAATCCTTAGAAATAACCCCCAACACTGATGTGTGCACATGTGTGTGTGTGTGCGAGATGTGAGTTTGGCTTGGTGTGTGCAAGGCCTTAGTGAGCACACACTTCAAACACTATACAGGAGACACATGTCCCTTTACAGCTTCCCTCTCCTTCCTCTTTCATTTTATGAATGTATCATACTGAGAAATACTGTAAAAATTGTGACCATAAAAAATTATTCTAATAAAGAGTGGACAAGCTGCTGTGACGTTTTTGGTTTAAATTCATTCTCGGTCAAAGTAAAACATGATTTATCAGATGTTGGTGGTGATCGATACATCAGCCAGTACTATTTTCTAGAGATATCAGTGTCGGCATTTATTACAGCCGATAAATGAACATTTTAAAAGTGAAGAAGAGACGACCTGCAACGCCGGGAGTGTTGATGTTACTCTTCAACTTCCCTGTTGGCAACACGTGTCTGGAACATAAACGCAACTACAGATCAGAGCAGAGTCGGGTGTAAATGAGTTATCCACAAGTATTTTTAAACTGTATTGCTTTATTATGTTAGTAAGCACTCATATATAACTAGATATAACAAATGTTAGGGAAATCTGTCTGTTTAAATATAGTTTTTTAAACAGATTTTTTAAACCGCCGCATATCGTCCTTAAAAATCCCATATCAGTCGTACTCTAGCTGAGATCACATGACTGACACAGCCAGTCCTCATTTATTTCTTTGCCTTTTGGATTGCTTGAACATTATGTTTTGGGTCATTATCCATTCACACTGTGAAGCGATTGTCTCAATAATACGCGCAGAGAGTATAGCCCTGTACACTTCAGGACTCATCCTGCTGCTTCCATCAGCACTCACGTCATCAACAAACACTAGTAACCAGGTTCAACTGGTAGAATCGATATATAAAGCACTGTTTTTAGAGTCAGAGCCTTTTAAATAATCACCATAGACTTTAAAACATGACACACAGTTTTAATGTGCACAATTAGCAATTAATAAAAAGATAAGGACCAAACAGTCTATTCTTCCTATTCTGCCATACCGAGCAGAACAGGAAGATTAGACAATGAGTTCAGATGCAGACTAATGACAATCTCCTCGAGACTCTCACCAACCAGCACTGCAATATAAAATCTACACAATTTCCCTGCCTGCTATCTCCCTTTAACCACACTGTTAAATCCATCATCCTTAATCAAACATGCATTTCAAATACAGAGGACTTGAGTAAAGCTGGACCAACAGAGGATTATTAAGACCAGCAACAATATGTGGTGATTTATAAGTCCAATATATCAGCGAATGCGTTAAATGCGTTGTTATGTGGACGTATTTATGAGCCTTACTGAGATAATATGGCAATGCATTTTAAATAAATCTTGTTTTATTGTGTCAACAAGTCATAGATGACTAATTTATTACTAATTTCCCACTGAGTGTTCTGGTGTTACCAACAGGGAAGAGCTCAGAGGGCCCTCTGGTAAGCAAACTATGTTACATCAACAATCATAACACAGTTCAGGGGTGTTTCTCCCACCCTGAAGTGGGCAATCAAGAGAGACGGCCTCTATTTTTATTCATTTTCTTAATTAGAAAAATATTTCAGGATTCATTTAATTACATTTCTATTTGTCCACTTGTTTATTTAGTTCTTTAATATTGACTTGACTGAAATTCCATACAAGGCTAGAGTATTAGGCAAACCGCAGACACATGGCGCCCTCTTCTGGACACAGTAATTTCACAAAGCAATGTTAAATAGAAACAATATATATATATACCCTCAACTATATGTACTTGAGGGTCTGCTAAATCCTGCCTTCGGAGGTTACGTAGAAACAAGGCATTCTTCTACATTCAGCACTCTGTCCACAGTAAAACGTGTCCAGCATGAATAAAAATGCAATTTGATACTATTGAATTTATACAAACTTACACATATAGGCAATTTGGGCTTCATATACTGCAGAGTTATCAACCACCCCACACATCATAGGAAACAGACATGTCAGTGCACTGTGCAATCTATACAGCAATCTATTCATATTATTTTTAATTTCCCTTTAAGTAGAAAGAAGCTGTTTGCAGTCCTCTTTGGTACTTTTACAGTTGGCTCTGTCTCAGATCACAGATCCTGATGCAACATTTCTCTCCGAGCCAGAATCCGGGATACAGCGGCTCTCTGAACTTGGCTTCAACCTTGTACAGGAAGTTCATACTGTCCGACACCTCATAGAAAGACAAAGTTCCGGTTTGAAATTTAAGATAAATTCCAACCCTGTGATGACGGGGTGGTGTAGTGAGCTGGATGCTGTCAGAATTGTGGCTCACAGAGTAATGTTTAGATAGATCCAGACTCCAGGAATTTGCATTGGCCCCAAAGGCTGACAGTGTAGTGCGGGATTTTCTGTCTATTCCTTTGTAGGTTAGAGCGATCTCTGCTTTGTCTCCTTTCACCTCTACCTCATAGTAGCAGTCAGCTTGCAGTCCCTCCCTGCACAGCACCTGCCGCCGATGTATAAACCTCTCTGGGTTACGAAGACAAGGATTCTTGGACCTCTCATTGCACAGCTTAACCATCTTCTCTCCTTCCAAAATAACCAGGTCCTCATGACCTGTCGTGGGGTCCAGAGAGAGCTCACACGCATCTGAGATAATGAAGAGGACATTTAAGGACTGAATTCTAAGAAGACAGCTGTGGTTGGATGAGTCTGTGTGTGGGTAAAGTCATGGTGAGAGCAGGTTGGAAGATAAACTTACATTGCAGGAACTCTTCTCTGGTTTTAGGCTCCACTTTCTGTTTAGCCAGAGGCCTGCTAGCTGTAAAGAGACACGGGAGACGACATCAGAGCATCAGAGACCCTGAAACTGGTCCCCAAAATGGAATAAATCAAGGATAATGTAATAGAGTTCATTATCCTGTAAAGCAGTTTACATAATTGCCTGTAAGTACAAGTTATTCAGATGTGTCACCATTTTGCCAAGGTCTGGAAGAAGACTCAAACTTTGACCCTCAGATGAGAGGACATGTTTAAGGATGTTGAGGAACAACCCAGGAACCACCGACTCAAACCTGCCATCAACTGTAAACTGCCAGCACCCCTGTCCAAGGTGAGATGATTTTTACACTGGCATGTAGAAGGGTGCCAAACAAGAAAGAAGACCCTGCTCCACGTTCAAGCTTGACTAAAATTTGCAGCTGTTCACATGGATGAGTTTTATAGTCAGACAAGATAAAGACAGACTTTTTTGGCCACAACGACCTGAGGTGTATCTGGAGGAATAGTGGTGAGGCTTTTAAACTGAAGAACACTGTACCACCTCCGAATCATGCTCTGGGGCTATTTTTAGCAGTGGTACTGGTATCAGGCACTCCATGAAATATGGGTCGAAAGCTTCATTCAGCGCTATGAATTGAATTATTGTGATTGACATGTAGAAGTGCAGAGGGTTTTGCAAAGCATGCTTACACATCATAACTGGTTAGAAGTCCAGATTATATTTTCTGGGCCAAGGGATTCCGAACAGAATGTCCCGAACTTAGATAATAAGTGGAATCAGTAGCCTTAAGGTTGCTAGATAATATTAATAATCAAGGCTAGGCAGGGAGGTGTTTTAAAACTGGACTGCCCACTCTGAGGGTCATCCTCTGTGTGAAGCAGATGGCTGATTTCACATCAAAGTCCAGTGCTGTAAACTTGTAATTTCAACTGCTGAAGCAAATAAATCCTTTTAAACGACAGATGTTCTCCTGTATAAACATGTCAGTGGTACATTATAAAATGGATGGAATAATGGAGAAGGAGCAGGACTACCTGCAAATTCTTCAACCTAATGTCAAATAATCAGGACAATGAGGACAACACACATCACAGCTGGATGAAGGAGGCTCACAGTAAGCTTCTGAGCCCAACTTTAACCCTATTGGAAATTCAGTGGACTTTGCTTAAAAGCAGGGTCTGTAACAGGAAACCAGCCAATTTAAATGAATTCTCCCAGTTCTGCCAAGAAGAGCAATCAGCCAGAATTATCCCAGAAGCTTGTTGATGGATAATTTACTAAGGGACATTTAACAAAATATTATTGGGGGCTGGTTAATATATTTGAGCCTGTATGTATACTTTTGACTCTGTGTGAATTAAAGAAATCCAAAATATATTCAAACTTCTCCCTTCAATTCTTGTTTCTCAAAGCCATTAAAGATGTGTGCTGAACAACAGTTTAAAGAAACCATTAAAAACCCAAAATTAGCATGACGGTCATGTCCATGATGACGAGTGGGTGTAAACTTCTGTCCACAACTGTAAGGTAATATTAAAATTGATCTGGAAACAGTTTGAAGTACAAACCATGGGGCTGTGAGACACTGGCTTCACTTCTTCGCTGGACATCATCTTCCTCCATCTCTGATGCTGATTCCTGCTGCTCCTCACCATCAGCTGTCATACACAAGGACATAGATATTCTTACATTCTTATAATTAAAGAGAGATGTTTTCCACATAATGACACATACCAGTGTTACAGATTGAGGCAAATTCTTTGTCACAGAATTCCTCGAGTTGCTTCCCAAGATGCTCAACGGCTCTCTTTGTGAGCTCAAAGTGGAGGAGTGGATCCTCTGAAAGCTCCGGGAACGAGTGGTCACAGAGGAGCTTCAGAGAGGGCCATTTCTGTGAGGATGGAGGGGAGAAGTTTAGGATACGACCCGTCAGAAACAGGCAACGTTTCCAGCACTGTGTTGGGAGTATACCTGCAGGAAACGGATGTTGCTCTCAGTCTGTGCCAGGCGGTCCAGCTTAGCATCCCTCTTCTTCATCTGCTTCATCTCCTCCTCCAGGCTCTTCAGCGAGATGCGAACCTGAGCTGCAGCCGCCTCCTCCTGAGCTGCAATCACTTCCTTCACTGACAGGTAATGTTTCTGAAGGGAGTCGATGGCGCCCACTATGACGCTTTCACAGAAGGCTTCTGTTTTTCTCGCCTCGTCCTGTTTGATACACATGTGAGTGGGTGACACACTACAAACACTTCAGACAACATAACTTTTTGGTCACATGTTCCCCTCACCTGAATCTGTCCGAGCATCTCCCCCATCATCTCTCTTTTTCTTTCTTGCTTCTGAAGAGTCTGCTTGAACTTTGTCTGCATGTCCTTAAGTTCCTTCTTCAGGATGTGTTAGTTGGAAGCAAACACATAATTTGTTTAGATTTTGTTCGTTTTTTCCTGGATGGCACTTTTTACATTTGTATGAATCAAATGCATCTTTGTCTAAAACTGGGTCGATGCTGTAAGTCATTTGAATGTTTTGTAAGGCTGTCCCAGTACTCAGGAATGATTTGTTTAACCAAATAAAGTGGAAATGTCACCTGTCTGAAATACAGACAGTCCATCTACCTTTAAAATTAGGCTTAAAACATCCCTTGTTGATAAGGGATTATCAATAGATTTGGATCAGATAACCATGAATCTTCCTTTAGTTATTCTGCAGTCGGTCTGTTCTACTGGGGGCTTCCCATGATACACCATGTTTCTTTTTCACTCACCATCCTGCATTTAATAATTATATTAGTTATCATCAGCCTGTTTTCGTTCCACATGGTGTCTTTTCTCCTGTTTTCCTCCCATCACTTCCAATCGAAACTTAGTTTCAGCAATTATTCATTTTTTAGGCTTATGTTGAAGTTTGAATCATCGATCTGTGTGCCTTAGATGCAGCGTGCACTTTGCTTTCATCTCAGTTACATGGCTAAAATCATTGTACATATATATAAATCACAAGATATGCAAAAGTTTCCAAATATCCGCCAGGATATAAAACATTGTCAGCAATCTTGAAGTTGCAGGAAATCACGAGCAATTGGTTAATGACAGTTTCCTGGATTTACCCAAAGAGAAAACATGTTCTTGTAATATTTTTGTTATAGTCAGCTATGTCGCTGCATTGTCATTTCAAAACTAAATCTGGAGTTGGAAATATTAAGTGCTAGAAGGTCTAGTATTATGCCATAAGACTGCATAAATTGACTCCTGGGCTAATTCACCAAAAGCTTTCCAGGAGACGCTTCCTTCAGTTTCTTCTTCCTGCAAATTTGAGCTTTCAAGTAGGATTTCTCCATTTCTATCCTGTTTTAAGTACCTCCTTCCGCCTCCGTTCCTCCTTCACCCACCCGATCCTGTGTCCTCCATGCTCAGCTGAAGCACACTGTGCACATATGATCTGCTCATCTGTGCAGCAGTAAACCTCCAGGGGCTTGTCGTGTTTCCCACACAAAGTGCTCTCTGATGTTTCTGCACAGCTCCGGGGTCTCTTCAGGACTCTCCGATTCCCTTCTGAGGACTGCTGCTCCTTATTACAACTCATTTCTGTCTCTCTCACCACCTCAGCTAGAGTGGCGTTCTTGATCAGCTGAGGTCTGGATGGAAACTCATATTTACATTCGGGGCACCTGCAGAGACTGTTCCTTAGCTGGTCACAATCCCATTGGTCCTGGATGCAGTGCATGCAAAAGTTGTGTCCGCAAGGAATCATCACAGGATTCCTGAGAAGCTTTCTGCAAATTTGACAGCAGAGGTGGTTCATCTTCGCAGGGATGTTACGGTCCGCCATGTCTCTGTGGAAAAAAGGCGGGCTGTCACAAGTTTAGTTTCGTTTCCTGCACAAATGACTCACAAGTGTGTGTTTGTGTGTGGGAGTGACTTAAAACTTTTGAAATTCTTGTGAAAAGGAAGGCGGAGTCCGTGTCTCCTCCACACTGGCTGTTTGAATCTCAAAGACCAGACAAATGTAAACAACAACCTTCAGAAAGGACAAATAAATCCAACATGAATGTCTTTATTACAGTATTTAGGTAAACATAAAACAAAGAAAAGCAGTGATAAATAAGCTTTGTAATTTACATGTACTTTCATTTCCTGAATGTTTAAATAAAAACAAAGAAACTAATATCTGAAAAAGATGTAGAAGTATAACAGTTCTGTAACTGGCAATTTAAATTCAGTTGTACCCTTCTGTTCAAAAACAGCCGTCTGATGAATAAAACCAGGCAACAAGAACCACATTTATGAGACCAGAAACACTCTTTTCTTTCACAAGCAAAAAAGATGAAGATGCTGACGAGCTTCTTGTTTGTTTTTTGTCTAGACTGGGATTTTAATGTCCATTCAGCCTCATTGATGGTCCCAGAGCAAAAAGCACTTAGTCAGGCAAAACAGATATGATATCATCCTGAAAATCCAGCAGGGCAACAAAAAGGTCCAACTGTTAAAGGAGCAATGATCCGACTATCATGAGTGTACATAAAGAAATCCTGACCTTTCCTTCCATCTCTCTGAAGATGAAGAACTCGTGAGATGGAACGAGGAATGTTTTATTCATGTGTTCACTGTGCTGAGCCTGGCCTAACACTTAATACCTAAAATGAATACTCTATTTAAACTTAAAAGTGAAAGTGTGGTCATGTAGTGCTTCCTGGTGAGTTGCGAAACTACAGTAGCAGGTAAGAGGCACACAGAGGAAATATCTGTAATGTAAAGAAGGAGCAGAGTTCAAGTCCGCAAATGGAGTTTTAGCACTGAGGTCATTATCAGCTATTTCATTAAAAAACTGGGAACGAGGCAAGAGAAGTCTCAGAGAACCTAAGTACAAAAGGATGATCTTTTTTTTGGCTAAAAACTACACAGAAATCATAACAATGCAAAATTTCTCAAAAGGCAAAAGTTCAAACACCAAAAGCATTTAGCAGGACCCCCGACAACACTCCTCCATGCTGGAAACTGAGAATAAAATCCATCCGTTACCTTCAGTCTATACAGAATGTGTAACATAATGTTCTGTTCAGAGAAGAGTTCTGTTGATCAGTGAGAGCACTGGTGGTGCTTCATCTGGACACCTGGCTGAAACTGTTTAAAAAAAACAAAACAAGAATAAACTACAAGAATGTTGACGGTGGTCGAGTCTCACTGTAGCAGTTCTTCCCAGGAAATAGGTTTGGAGAAGACTTCCCTCTCCAGCCAAAGGTCGTAGTTCATTTGGAAGTCCTCGGGCAGGTCCACTCGTTGGCCCAGAACACTTTGCAGACAGTTGTCCACAGGCAGGAAGTCGGGATTGCTGTGGCTCTTGTCGTAGCGGCGGCTGTTGAAGCGCTCGATGTTGGCTCGTAGAGCGCACTCCTCGGCCTGGAAGTCCCACGGACGAGCGTCCAGATCTGCTCACACAAAACAAACAGTCACTGGAAGTTAGTGGATTTTGTCTGCTCTGAGCGTAACAGCAATCTGCAGCAGCCCACAAATCCTGATCTCCATTAGGACATAAAAACAAAACAGCAGGTTTGTGTCATAAAGGCGACAAACACATGAAACATTCATGCAGCGAACAGACGACTAATCTGAGAAACACGAAACACTTTGAATCTACAGCTCATCTTTCACTCACACACCAGCTGTCTCACCTCAGTCAGTCTGCGGCACTCATGACATTTATTAAATGCACACTCACTGGCCACTTTATTTGCTGTCTAACTGCTCGTTAACACACATCTAATCAGCCAATCACGTAGCAGGGTTTACAGAGAATGGTCCAAAAAAAAAAAAAAGAGAAAATCTCCAGTGAGCAGCAGTTCTCTTAGAGGTCAGAGGTCAAAGAAGAATGGCCAGACTTCTTTGAGCTCATAGAAAGGCAACAGTGACTCAAGTAACCCCTCATGACAGCCAAGGTATGCAGAAGAGCATCTCTGAGTGTTCAACACACTGAACCATGAAGAAAATGTGCAACAGCAGCAGAAGACTAGACCAGGTGTCACTACTGTCAACTAAGAAAGGGAAACTGAGGCTACAGTTTCCACAGGGTCACCAACAGTGGACAACAGAAGGCTAGAGAAACTGCTGGTCTGATGATTCAATTTTCAGATGGTATTATTGCAATCTGCCATAAACAGCATCGTGCTTTTATCAACAATTCAGACTGCTGCTGGTGGTGCTGGCGTGGGGAATATTTTCTTGGCACAGTTTGGAACCCATAGTACCAAACTGTGCATCCTTTAAACACCACAGCAGTGGTGTAAAGGATGGTGTTGTTGCTGTCCATCAACAGCAACAACACACATGTAGTGTCCATCTTTCAATTGTTGCTTAAAGCAGGATAGCATACCGATGTCATAAATCTAAAACTGGTTTCTTGAACATGACTATGAGTTCACTGAATTCAAATGGCCTCCACAGTCACCAGATTTCTTTATTTACAATCCAACACAGCACCTCTGGGATGTGGTGGACCGGGAGATTCACATCATTACTGTGGAGCCACTGTGTGACGCTGTCATGTCAACATGGACCAAAATCTCTGAGCAATGTTTCTAGAATCTTCCAGGTTTGACTGGTTCTCTGAATATAAAAAGGATTTTATGGTGTTCAAATATCACCTGCTCCCCACTTTTTCTAGAATGATACTTGAATAATGCTGTCCTATGTTTGTGTGTAGTGTTGTACATTCTGCACGGAAGCTGTTCAGATTTTCCTCTCACCGTTTCCGTACGCCCAGTCGTCATTCAGGCGATGTCGGACCTTCTGGTAGATGGCAGACATGGTCTTCATGTTGCTCTTCCTCCACTGACGTCCGAGGTATTTTGTTTGCACTTTGAGCAGCTTGAGGACATACAGCTGCATCATTGCCTGCTTGACCTTCAGCGCCCTTTTCAGGATGGGTGCCGACTTAAACACGACCAGCATCTGGCAGAAAATAACAAGGAAAAAAAAAATCAAAGTAGAGAGTTATATCCTGTCTTTTCATACGTGATTCGTGTGTCACAGCAAATGTGACGTGACGTCCTCCCACCATTGTTCTGGAGTGCTTCCATTTGGTCAGTTTGTTGAGGATCCTCAGCAGGTTAATACAGGAAAACAGATTCCTCCAGCAAAACTGATTGTTGTCTCCTGCTTCCTGTAACAAAGAAATCGTCCACAGTAAACATCCAAATCCTACAGTCACGTGTCAACAACAACAAAACAACAGAAACAAGGGGGGTAAAATTACCAAGCTCTCTGCGGTTAACTCTGGGAGCTCGTGCACCACACAGTACGGAAAGTCGAGTACTGAAATGCTTTGAGGAAGAAAAAAGTAAAGTCAATGTAGTGAAATACAGAGTCATGTACATTTAGTTTATTGATGCGCACTGCAAACAGGAATCATGACTTTGTTATGTAACGCCACACTGAAAGTACCTGTTCTTAGCTGTGATGTAAGACATAATGTTCTGGTTGAAGAACTTGAGAATGAGGGGGATGCAGTTGGCAAACACCAAGTGCTGAGCCATGTACTCAAACTATGAACACCACACACACACACACAGAGGGACAGCAGTTACACAAGCATTAATTTTTATATCAGTACATGTATGTAGTTTGTATTTTGGTTACTACTGAACACACGATTAACACAACAACTGTTCAACTCTGAAAACAATCTAGGATTTATTTAAGTTTAAGAAAAGAAGAAACTCGCCTTTTTTTATTTAAGTGGATTTTTTAAGACTATTTTTTAACCCAATTCCCTGTTTTAAAACTTAATAAAAACAAAATGCAATGACCCAAAAACCTCATAAGCCCAGATTTTATTCAGAACACAGAAAGCATATTAAACGTTTAAACTGACAATAAATTTACCATTTTAGGAAAATTATTAGCTTGTTTTGAGTTTGATAGAAGGAACTGAGGAGACCAGCTGCTGGACTTTTGGAAGAAGAAATGACTCTACCTGCTCAGCAGTCCTGGGTCTTTTTTGTGCTATCTTTTGTTTTTGAGTTGTTTAGTTGGTAAATAATCTGGACTGCAGGCAGGTCAGTTCAGCACCCAGACTCT